CACGTGGATATTAAAAAAAATTAAAATAAAAAAAACCTAAAAGCTACAACTTTGGATTTGGAAGGAAACGTTCGGGGTTTTTTCCTGGCTGCAGCCGTCTTGGGGATGGGTTTGCTTATGTTGTTTTTCCCAGAGGACAACGGCAACAACACCACCACCATTGTTGACGAACCCACCCAGCTCTTCTCTTCTTCCATTTCCTCTCCGTCGTCCTCCCCCCACCCCTTCTTCCTCCTTGTCTTCCTCCTCCAAAACATGCACAAGATGTATCTCCTTACACCTTTGCAACACCAATCAGTGTGCTAAAAGCCCCAAAAAATGGAGTGATAGAAGGTGGGCGAATTGGGAGGTGGTTTTTGTCACGATCGAAATGGAGCCCAAACTGGGTCTATACCGGTCTGCTGAAAAGATACGGTTGAAGACGAAGGCGTTTGAAGATAAGCCGTAGTTGATGAGGTAGTCTCGGAAGGAGTGAAGAAGGCTGAGATGTGGAGGAGAGAGAGGAGGGTTAAAGAGAGAAAGTGGAGGCTGAGATGGGTTCGTCCCCGTTATGCTCCCACCCAATTCAGGAATGGGCTCTAATTTTTTAATTTTTTAAGTTTCTAACGTTGAAATGGGCCTATATTGACATGTGGCGTCATGTTAGTGTCTATATGAGCCTTGCGTCACAAGTTAATGGTCAACTTAACAACAACCTTAACAAATCTAAGAAACTGTTCCAAAAATTTGACTTCAAGAACTACTCTGGAATGAAAAAAAACTTGATATACCAAGTATCAAAAACCAAAAAATTTTAGGGAGGTTTAACAAAACACTCCCTGTACTGTTCACTTTCAACGAAAAACCACATTTATACTTTTCCCTGATGCTATTCACTATACCTTTAAAAAGAGTTTTTCATTAAAATAAAAAGTTTTTATGAACTTTTTTTAGTTTTCTTAAAATTTTAAAGTAGTAAACTGAACTCTTAAAAAAAATATTAACAAAAGAAAAATAAAAAAGGCACCTGAAAATATGACAAACGCCAAAAGCAAATACAAAACCTCCAGCGGCTTTGCTCCTCATCCTCTTCATCATCCACCTCAAAAATCCACCCAGCTTTGCTCACCTCTCCCTCTCCCTCTCCCTCCCTCTCTACAGTCAGTTTACGTACGAAAAAAGGGCATGTCCCGCAAAGGAGGAGGAAGTGCTTCTTCACTCCCAAAGGACGTGCCTTGGAGGGCCTCAAACATCAAACCCTTCCCCAAAATTCACCATTCCCCTCTTCTCCGCATAGCCCCCAACCCTACTTCCAACTATGCCCTCTCCGTCATGAAGGTCGGTTTTCTCCCAAACTTTACCCTCGTTCTACACCTCTGATTACATTTTTGTTTTCGTTTTTTCTCATCTTGCTCGTCGTAAAATTGTGTAATTTTGCAGCAACCGAATCCAGTCGGAAGTGGGTTGGCCATGGAAGCTATAGTGGAATCCGCTGGACCGGACTGCATTGTTCCTGGACAAGTTGCACCCGTCAAATTACTTGGTCTCAAGGTTGCCTCCTGCTCTGTTTCCATCATTAAAAATATCTTCAAACTTATTTGGTCCATTAATCCAGTAATTAGATTTTTAATTTACAAATTTTGATTAATAATTTTGGGAGTCATCCAAATTTTTACTAATTGTTGCTGCCTTTTTGTGGATTGTTATAACTGTTATGCTATCTGAATTTGGAATTTAGGATTAAAGTTATGCTCAGTACCTATTCGAATTTAGAATCGAAATATCTGCTAACGCTTGGGGCCAATGTTAGTTTACCTGTTGTTCTTCTTTTTAATTTGTTTTACTCGCTTCTTTGTAAAGTTTCAACATTGTAGTATATGCCATTGCTTAACGTTTGAATTGGGTCTTTCTTTTTTGTCCTTTTGATGTTATTCGTAAAATTATTACTTTCTTCAAACGCTTGCAATTGCTGCACACACTATTTAGTTCTGCTTTCCCAGAGGCTTATTTTATGGTGACGTGTCTACTTTTAGGAGGATAGTTCCTCTGCTTGAATTGTTTGTTTGACAGATGCTATTTCAGAATGCAACATATAAAGATATCGTGATGCTTTGATTTGCTTGCCGTGCTATATCAAGTTTTTTCTTTATACTATTCAATTATCTGTCTAACTAGTCTCCTGTACTTCTTAGTTAGAGGAAATTGGAGAAATTATCCTTGAACTTTGGCCCAATTGGAGCTTTGGTCCCTAAACTAAAAATTCGGGAGTATTGGTCTTTGAACTTGTTATAATGTGAAGCAATGGTCATTTCCGCTAACTCTCTTAGAACTTCCATCCAAAATAAAGGGTTTAAAGGGGTTAAAATGAATGGAAGTTCTAACGGAGTTAGCCAAAAGAACCATGGCTCCATGTTATTACACGTTCAGGTGACCAATACTCATGAATTTTTAGATTAGGGATGATTGCTCCAATTATCTTTCTTAGGTATTATTTTTTTTAATTGAATTTTGTTTTTCTTACAGGTATGGCCTATTGAAGTTAACTTCAAATTTTTGGAACCAGTTGAGCGAGAGCTCAAGCAGCTTGGAAGGGTAAGTTTCAATGTTTCAGATCTGTTTCGTTTTTGGAGTTACCCTTGTTGAATTGATAATGAGAGTAGATAGCTTTAGAAGAATCAGAAATAAAGATAAAATAAAGCTGGGAACGCTCTTGAGAAATGGTGTTGTCCCCACTTCCATGGAATAGAAAATAGTAAGAATGTCAATAGATTGATACACTTTATTGATAATTAAAGTAATAAAGGGATGAAAGAAGGTTTAGATAAGGTAAACAATCTGAGCACAGTAATTCAGAAATTATTTTCCGCAATAATAAAACCAGCCTATGATAGATCATTCCTGGTTTGATGTGCTGAAAATAATATGAGGCCAATTTGTTCTTCTGAAACATTTGAAAAAACAAATGAGTGGTTTTGGGTCAAATCGCATTGGAAGTCTAGAATGCTCTTTGCTCAGCTCCATAATGAAATTTATTATTGGATACATTAATATCTTTCAACTGTTGCTAAATGTCTTCTGCGGTTAGGGTTTGTAGGACTTTATCAGCTTGTATTTTCAAGCTGTGGCCGAGTTTTGGCAGACTAGACCTGCTCTTTTTTTTTTTTCTTCAAAACTGATGCTTTTTGTATGAATAGGAGGGAGGTTGGGTTTCAGTTATATCTGATTAGTGGAAGATCTGTGGTGCGGAATTAAGACTTCTCTATTTTCTTTTGATTTTTGATCATTCACTTGTTTTGAAAGTGAATAAGGAAAGACTTCTTGCCCGGACCCCTTTCTTTGTGGTCTCAGTTTCAGAACGTAACTTCCACCGTTGTTGATAATTGATGGTTTACTTTTGTTGGATTCTTGTCAAGTACTTACTGTAGAACAGTTTGTGCTTTCATAAACAGCATGAAATCCACAGTTCCCGAGGTCTTAATAATTAATACATTGATCATGTTTCTAATGCAGTTCATGGATGATGCTGTCAATCTCATGAATAAATCATTTATAGATCGCTAGTGCATCGGTTTCGTGTTGTCAAAGAGGATAGGGTAATTGCAGTCAGCAGAAGCCTAGCCAGGAAGAATGACTTGTCATGAGGTCTCCACTTGTGTTGTCTTTGGTTGTGCTGCGGTTGAGGCATACGTAGTAGTTAGTATCTATAGATCAGAAGCGGGAGGTTTCCTAGTTTGTATTGTGACATTAATACTTGAATTTGAATAATATGAGGCTTGGAGGAATGCTAGTTATATGAGAAAGCTTTGTCTTCACTGTACATATTGCACATGATGCATACGTAAGGGTCATGTTCGACGACTAGGATTGGATATATTAACTTACGAGATTCAAGGTTTATTGATGTTAGAAATGAATGCCAAGTTGCCAAATTCTAAATTTCGCCTAAGGTGAAGACATTAGATAGATTTGTTATAAGGTGTCGATGGTCCACCAATTTGTAGGATCGGAAGGATAAGTTCTGATCGTTACTAAACCATCTTTCTACTTTCGACTTGGACAAAATTTGTAGAGTAGTCTCTATTTCTTCATTCAACATACCTGAACCTCCTTCATGCCAAATCCCATTCATAACGGAAATCATTCACATCTACTTTTAATATACCTTGAAGCTTATTAGTTGCCGGTTCCATTCCAATCCCAGGCACCAAATGAACCCTAATTCAAAGTAGGTAGCAGTAAGAATGATTTTCAACCGCCAGATTCTTTGCCAGGTGAAAGAATTGGATGAATTAGAAGGGATAAATGAGCCCTGAACGTGAGATCTTTGATATTCTATCATTTTGTGGGGATTGCAAGGGATAAACATCGTTAATGACAAATCCATTTTCTCTACCAGTCAACTTGGATGAAATTTTGGAAGATGACCTTCATTCTTTGTTTAGTATATCCAATCCAATTTAATTCTACGCATCAAACACGTAGTTCTTCAATCATGTAAATGGTTCTCAATCAAAGATGTAAAGCCCAAATCAAGTTATTGGATCCAGTCTCTTTCACTAACACAGTGCTAATGTCCCCAGCAATTTCACCAACTGCCTTCATTGGAGGACAAACCCCTCTTCTTCTCTTCTTTCCAGATATGCAAATGCAAAGTATCCATAATATCTATTAATCTAATCAAAATCTTTGCTTGCCTGGACTACCTTCCAAAACATTGTCTCCCTATCCTTTCCTTCTTTTTTTTCCCAATTAATCATATATTATATGAATAGTATGATTAATAGACAGAGACAAAATGGCTATAGAGACAAAAAATGTGATGCAAAAAAGGAGAGAGAACTAGAATCATCAACTGTTCACCTTCCTGGATGACCTAATTTGTTGCCTTATATCGATGAGTTATGTAAGGCAAAGCCAATGGTGGAGTTCCCACAACCTAGTGGGGTTTCTGTAAGAGGTCACTTTTTCCTCGTTTGCCCAACTCTATGCCACCTTACTTCTCATATATAAGGGTTTAACTTCTCTTGGCGGCCGTGGAAGGAGAGAACTTGCTCAAAGGTCCGTGGCTCGAAGAGGAAGATGAGCGACTCAAGACCTATGTAAATCTTAAGGGGGGTAGGAGGTGGGATGCGTTAGTGAAGGAATCAGGTAAGCACATTACAAATGATTCTTACTTGTGAAGTTTAAAGATGACTCGTTTCGTATGTGGTGAATGGATAAAGTCACACAACTTACACTGTGCAGGTCTAAGGAGGAGTGGTAGGAGTTGCAGCATGCGGTCGTTGAACTACCTCTGCCCAAACATTAAGCATGGTAAGATTACCATCATAGAAGAGAAAACCATTCGCCAACTTCATCAACGTTGGGGTAACAAGTGAGTTTCGTAGTTCTTGTCTTTGGTTACCTTTTCGAGTTCGTGACATTATTACCTTCTTGCAACATTGCTAGCACTATCGCCTAGCTTGTGCTTAATTCTGCAATGTTCTGAGTTTCTTCCAACTATATCACTATATCAATCTTGTAGGTGGTCAATGATTTCCCAAGCGCTGCCAGGAAGAACCGATAATGAGATCAAGAATCACTGGAGAACTCATTTAAAGAAGAAAATACAAATTCAAGATGGTATATTACACTTCATCATTTTCTTCTGATTTCTGAAACATATTGTGGAAAATGCCAAGGCTTGTTTTATCTTCTTCAAAGCCCCACATTACTAACAGTTGCTCTGTCTGCAGGAAATTTCCAATGTAAATTGAACAAAAACCAACAGGGTATTTTCTGTCAGGAAGGTGACATGAATGAGGAAAAATACGACTTTGATCAAAACCAAGGTTACTAGCTCTGATGATCTTGGTTTATCGGACTTTGCGGCAACAAATTCTCCATACGAAACCCAGTTATCAGAATGGACATCTGAGCTATCAAGTGAACAAAGTGGAACAACCTATAATCAGGACTGTAATAGTGTCGAGTCCGATTTACGTCATCTTAAATGGACTCCGGATGATAGTGATGCATGGGACTGTCTAGGTTTTCTCTGGGACATGAATTAACAGATAATAGTGGGAAATGTGGATCAAATGAAATAAAAATGAGTAATGCTAGCTAGACCAAATTTGTAGACAAAGTATTGAAAACTAAAAGACATGTAAGTTGATGTTTGGCTTATTACTTACACGTTGATAAACGTGCTTATTCTTATTGATGACACATCATTTAGTTTGCAAATTTAGTCTCCAAATTTGGTCTCCCTAGCATTACCATATGCAATGCATGTTGCTAAGAAAAATGGAATTTCTTCCTTTCCAGCTCCAGCAAGTGAGGTTTTGGCATATCTTCTGAGAAGAAAATAGGGCAGCTGATGATGGCTTAACAAGAATTCATGGGACAAAATTTGGAGGGTGAATAGCTTTTGTACTCTCATCTACATAGGGCAGTCGCTGAGAGGATCTACTTTGATCAGTTAGGTAGCTTCTTGAAGCTTTTCAAACTATAATTTGTAATCGCATGCATGTATTGGATGTGCAATCATCTGACTTAAATTTGAATTGTATTCTCTCGTCTTCTCTCTAAGCTGTTACCATTTCCTTTTATCATCGTAAATTGTAGTTGATATAATCATACATATGAGAGAAATACAAGAAAAAGCAGCCAATTACTAGAAATTTTGTAGTTAGAGTGTAGCGAAAATGAATCAAATGAACGCAAAATAAGCAATATTGGTATATGTATTATCATTTCAAGACACTGCGTGCCTAAGGAGTCATTCCTTCTTACATGAGGATGTGACATCATTTCACCTTACAAAACGTTGTAATCTGAATCACGTGACATTATTTCACCATACAAACTTCATATTCCAAAATTTTCATTCTCTTTACCATAAAAAATTTATTTAGTTCATACACTGTTTAGTCGCTTATATGAATCAAACAAGTTGGCGGTTAATTAAGGATATTATTTGTTAGCGCCTGTCAATTTGTTCGTCACATCAATTATATATAATATTTATACAGTGAAACGATGTCACTTTGTCATATAAAGAGAAATGACTCCTTACATATAACGAAACAAGTATTCATTAAACACATATGCAGCACCTTGACTAGTGTTACACATTCTATATTTCAACGGAAGTGGCTAAACCCATACCCCAACTTAAACCTATCAATTGGTCAAAAAAAGCTTGTGGCACACCACCAACCATCAAGACTCCTACTTTTTATCTATAATAAATGGATAATAATATATAGTTCGAGCCTCCTACTTTTCTTACTATTGCTATTGCACTGTTGGTGTCACCATATATAACATAAAACAAAAATTAATCAGACAACCTAGCTCTACTGGTAATCTGGATGAGGGAAAGAGTTGGTCGAGCGTAAGCAAAAGCAGAAGATAACATTATCCATGTGGCAACTCAGATTATATATGAGGTTGTCCGCTGGAAAGATGCCTACAACTGAACTTGAGCTTCTGTAGACGTCACATATATATGCAGGATTACATATAAGGAGAAAGGGATCACAACCTTAGTTCTAATTCATGTTTTAAATACTAATGGTTCACTATTTTATATTGCGGTTGTGTAGTGTGGCTCGATACAAGTTGTGAAAGTGAAAATTAAAGAAATATTCTCTCGTCGAAAAAGTATCACAACAATTTACAACACGCAAGTAAGCAGTCTACTATTAATATATACAAAACTAAGACGTTTTATATGTATGTTCACTATTGGAGTCGAGACATGTTAAACTTGGACATTTAAGTTTGAGACAACATCGATACACTAGTCCGTTGAACAACATATTTGGCATCAAAACCTAACACATCATTGCCTTCTAGTTCTATCCACCCAGCCATGCCTAACACTAAGTTCGTAACCTCGACTGGATGGATATAAAGCAGAAAACCACAAACACAGACACGAGACACAAAGTTGTTCAACTGCAATATAAAAATGATTTGGAAACTAGATGGGAACTGCATCACCCGTTATCCATTTTCAGAAGACATCTCATCCTAAATCAAAGTGAGTTAATAAACTATTGTTTGGACTTGATTTTACACCATCGGCCCAAGCGATCGAGGCCGTTGAGTAAGGATGATTCTTAATCGTCGGATAAGAAAGTTACAATAATTTTGTTGTTGTTAGAGGATAATATTATGATTTTTAATCATGATAATTATCTTTTAATAATGAATTATCTTGACAATTTTCTTGTACGAGATAAATGTGACTCAATCTATATCGAAGCAAGCAAAATAGTTCAATTTAGTTTGGGATTCTTAGCATTCAACGCAGGATTGAGCATCATGCATTATAAAAAGAGTCTTAGCATGTGGTGGCATCAGTTGGTAATCAAGGTGGAGTCCAACTTGAATGATTCATTACATGAAGTAAGCCATTATGATGCATGCATGGGATAATTATTAGCAAACTCAAGGCTGCCAAATGAAGTGAATATTCTATGGATAAAGCTTGATATTCCAAGGTTTGAATGACAATGCTTATCTTTAGCAAAGAAGGAATTGGCATACCAAGCTTGGTTACGTGGTTTTGGCTAAAATGCGTGGTTAGCACCAAAGACGTTGAGTGCCACGACTTTCATTGGATAATCATCATCTCTGCGTAAATTATTATTTGTGGAGATTGATGGTCACAGATGGATTTTGCGCTAAGTTAGTTTTATAAATACAAGACATCATGCAACAATTGAGGGAGCTCCAATTCAACACACAACTGCCCTGTGCAAAACCTCTCAAATACCTTGAGATTTTTCCTTTTCTTTTCCTGCCGACACACCTTCAGTTTGGATAAACAGCACTGTGGAAGCACCCGGCGAGCATCTTCAGTTTGGACAAACAGCACTGCTGCCGCAGAATCAGCTGACCGAGAAGCACCTTCAATTTGGATAAACAGCACTGCGTCGAGGTCGACCGGTTATCTATCTAAGTCTCGGCCGAGAAGGGTTGTCGAACCTTTGTTGGCAGAGGTCACCTTGCTAGCCTTCTCGGCATAGTCAGGTGTTACGAATTGCATTGCTCGGCGTACTGGACGCCGAGTGATTTTATGATTGGATACTCGCGAGTAAGTTTCAGGGTTCGGCATTCCGACGACCGAACTACGTTTACCATCAAGACATACATCGTATTTGAGTACCTGTGCCCATATAGTTTGGTCTCGATTCGGTGTGCTTATACTCTTACGAATATAATCACAGTGACCGAGTCGGACTCCGACGAGTTGTGAACTCCGCAGAATTAGTAGCCTTGTCTTCAGGCTATAGAACCCAGAGACCGAGAGCGTTCCTTCCTCGGTCGCAATCGCAAGATATAGAAGTCAACAGCGCGCTCAACGCGACATCATCAAATTTTACTCCTCGGCCGAGCTCGGCCGACGAGTTGGCACGCCCCGCATTCAACCGAATGACGTAGTTAGCTTATTAGTTACTCGGCATGCGCGCCACGTAGGTTTTGTAATTTTTAGAGTTAACATTTTGACCTCATCACTTCTCGACCCCAAATTCAACACACAACTGCCCCCTAATTCTTCTCGACCTTGGTTCATGATTGCTTATCACTTCTCCTCAACCATGAGTTGTTCGTTGGTCAAAAGAAGCCAGGATCATGTTCTCTCGGCAAGGTTACTCAGAATCAACACAGCAACAGGTTTCTCTCGGCCTGATAAGTAGGTGGTCGAGGTACTCCTGATTGGCCGGAAAGACTTAATTTGCTTAACCATTCGGCTTATGAGCCGAAGTTCAAGGAAACTAGGGGGCAATGTTTGGACTTGATTTTACACCATCGGCCCAAGCGATCGAGGCCGTTGAGTAAGGATGATTCTTAATCGTTGGATAAGAAAGTTACAATAATTTTGTTGTTGTTAGAGGATAATATTATGATTTTTAATCATAATAATTATCTTTTAATAATGAATTATTTTGACAATTTTCTTGTACGAGATAAATGTGACTCAAACTATATCGAAGCAAGCAAAATAGTTCAATTTAGTTTGGGATTCTTAGCATTCAACGCGGGATTGAGCATCATGCATTATAAAAAGAGTCTTAGCATGTGGTGGCATTAGTTGGTAACCAAGGTGGAGTCCAACTTGAATGATTCATTACGTGAAGTAAGCCATTGTGATGCATGCATGGGATAATTATTAGCAAACTTAAGGCTGCCAAATGAAGTGAATATTCTATGGATAAAGCTTGATATTCCAAGGTTTGAATGACAATGCTTATCTTTAGCAAAGAAGGAATTGGCATACCAAGCTTGGTTACGTGGTTTTGGCTAAAATGCGTGGTTAGCACCAAAGACGTTGAGTGCCACGACTTTCATTGGATAATCATCATCTCTGCGTAAATTATTATTTGTGGAGATTGATGGTCACAGATGGATTTTGCGCTAAGTTAGTTTTATAAATACAAGACATCATGCAACAATTGAGGGAGCTCCAATTCAACACACAACTGCCCTGCGCAAAACCTCTCAAACATCTTGAGATTTTTTTTATTTTCTTTTTTCGCCGACACATCTTCAGTTTGGATACACAGCACTGTGAAGGCAACCGGCGAACATCTTCAGTTTGGATAAACAGCACTGTTGCCGTAGAATCAGCCATTCCCGAAGCACCTTCAGTTTGGATAAACAGCACTGCGTCGAGGCCGACTGATTATCTATCCAAGTCTCGGTCGAGAAGGATTTTCAAATCCTTATTGGCAGAGGTCATCTCATTAGCCTTCTCGGCGAAGTGAGGTGTTACCAAGTTACTACATTCGGCACCCTGAGAGCCGAATTTGATATTGAACTTCGTAGAACTAGCAGCCTTGTCTTCAGGCTCGAGAATCCAAAGGTCGAGATTTGTTCCTTCCTCGGCCGCAGTCGTAAGATAAAGAAGTCAGCAACGCGCTCAACGCAATATCAACAAATTTTACTCCTCGGCCGAGCTAGGCCGACGAGTTGGCACGCCCCGCATTCAACCGAAGGACTTAGTTAGCTTATTAGTTATTCGGCCTACGCGCCGCGTAGGCTTTGTAATTTTTAGGGTACAACAACTATATTCAGAATTACGCCAAGTAAAGTAAAAGGCAACATACTCTATTGCTTTTATGTTCTTTTCTTTTCTCTTGGTCTTGGATACCAAATATGCTTCGCGCAGACACTGCTGATATAAATAAAGGAGATTAAAATCATTGATTATTTTCTCATATTATAAATGCATGTCGTCTGGGATAATATACAAAACTAGCAAGCATGACAATGAGATGAAAAAGGAGAAGACAGTGCAGGTGGATGGAAGTGGCGGCAGTAGAATGCTGCTGCTTCCCGACATGTCATCCGTATAGTCTGGACCAGAGCCTAAACCATTTCCGTCGCCGGCCGAGCTCCACTTGCCCAGGTTGTTGTCCCTGCTCATTCAAAATTGCATTAGGCATTGTCAGAGTATAGTATCGTACAGGTTTTACCATTTCAAAACCAAGAAGGCACCACTATTTATAAGTTAACGTGATGAACAAATGAGTTCAGTCAATACTTCAAGTTAAATATCCTAGATGGA